AGCTACCTTCTACAAACTTGATATCACGCCTTTCGATCACTTCTATTTCTCGATCGTAAAGTCGATATGCTTTTGCTCTTAAAGAATATCCAATGAACACATATTCTTTGCCTTTCGCTCGAAATTTTTTGCGTTGCATTTTATCTAAGGAAAACGCTCGCGAACCGAATGTTCTTAAATGCTTGACTAGTGGTTTCCGACCACCCCATTTTTCGAACGGCGTTATATTTTCTAACGAATTAGATGGTGACCGCTTCAGCCCATATCTGCTCCTCTAGATTCGTATGTACTAGCATGCTTCTAGCCATTTCGACAACTGTTCTGTTTGCTCTTTCTGCAACACCATTTTGTTGTGGTGTATATGATACAGTTAATTGTCTTTTGATACATGAGTCACTTAAAAACTTGTTAAATACTTTATATAAGTATTCACTGCCATTCTCACTACGTAATGCTTTTATTTTATTTTTTGTTTGACACTCGGCCAAACTCTTAAATATTTTAAATTTTTTTAGTACTTGGTCTTTGGTTTTAATGAAGTAAACAAAGACTCTTCTGGAATAATCGCCCATTAATGTCACAAAATAACGGGCACCACCAACTGACGATACGTTTATTGGACCGCATACGTCCGTATGTACAAGTTCTAATAAATCTTTTGGAACTCGTTCAGCTTTTTTGCGGAAACCTGCAACGCACTTTTTTGGTTTGAAAAAATTTTAACATCAAAACCACGAACTAAATCCTTATTTGAAAGCTCTTTTAAACTTTTAAAATTTAAATGGCCATTCCGATTATGCCATTTTATCGCATTACATATTGTGTGCAAAATAATGATTCGCGTTTATTAGTGATTACTATAAACAAATTGTTGCACATTTTTGCCTTTAACAATAGTGAACTGTCTTTTGTTTTAATTGTAGCTAGATCATTTTTAAACAAAATTGAATGTCCAAAACTCAATGCTTGGACACTGAATAAAAGTTTGTTGTTGTGACTCACTTTCATCTCTTTGTTCTCTTCGCACTCCTTTTTCTAGAAGTTTCACCTTTAAGACGTCAAACGTAGGTAACGAATTGCGTGTTTCTATGGCGACAACGAAATTTTCATATTTTGCAGGCAATCTAGACAAAAGCAGGATGACCTTGAGTTCTTCGTTAAGCGTAATGTCCATTTCGGCTAGTTTATCAATAACATCGACAAACGAATTGATAAACTCCGTCACACTCTCACCATCAGACATATTGAGGGCCAGCAATTGCTTATACAAAGCAACCTTTCAAACTGGACAACTTGGCATGTGCACTTCGCGTAACTTCTGCCATGCTGAACTCGATGTAGGGCATTTTTTATATAGTTTACCTGTGACGGATTTACATTTAATATTATACTTGCCAAGGCTTTTTCATCCAGTCTGTTCCAGATAGCATCATTATCATCTTTTTTGTTAGTTTACCGCAAATGACACTCCAAAAATCTGCATTAATTAACAGACTTTTCATTACGCCACTCCAGACATCGTAGTTTTTCTCGCTTAACTTTTCTATTTGGTAAGCTACACTCATTTTCAAAATTGACTTTGTTCTAAATTCCAAATTAAAATACACACCTTATAACCGGACACACTTTATAGCCGCGCTGGGCCCACAACCAATGTTAGAAACAAAAGTACAAAAATTATGCGTGCTTCGATCTAAGGTTTATTTGGAACTGAAAGGTATTTTACATAAAAGCCACTCAATAATGTTGAAAATGTTTAACATGTTTTACTTTAACGGTATATATGCAATATAATTTTGATAATTTTAGAAAATCTGTCTACTCATTTTTAATGATTTATATACCAAAATATTCTAGAATATGTACCATTTCGTAATATTTATAATTAATTAAATATTATCCGTATCACCTAACACAGAATATAACAGCTAACAAATGCCTGCAACAAAGTTCAATGCATTTGTGAATACGCTTCAAAAATTGTTTTTGTCAATATCTTTTTTATTTATTACTCGATTTTAATAATTTTTGCATCAATTCATATTAGAAAAATATAAACTATTTAAAAAATGCCGTGCAACATTGTACTACTTTTAATTTTAGTTTCTAGTATATATTGAAAAATGTTTGATATAGCGGTATACGTTATCCAATTTACGACGAAAATTTGGTTTTTTATATGCAAAATATTTTTGATAATTTTAGAAAATCTGTCTACTCATTTTTAATGATTTATATACCAAAATATTCTAGAATATGTATATTTTTCAAAAAAATACCATGCAACATTGTACCCTTTTGTAAAATTTATAATTAATTAAATATTGTTATTATCCCCTTAACACAGAAAATAGCCGCTTATAAATACCTTTAAGAGAGTTCTTTATTAAACTTTACAGTGGTGGTGAGTTTTTAGCATTGTACAGCTTTTCACCTTAATATGTTATTAGAATGGTGTTAGTTAACATATATTTTTTGGTAAAAAGATCACCTTTTTATATATATATAATTTAAAAAAGTTCTACTCCATTTTTGTGAAATTAGTTTCGTTTAAAAGAGTGATCAATCTAGTTTTAGGAACTTTGAGCGTGCTGGTTGTACCTCATTCGAAATTTAAATAAAATGCAATTATATCAGAACATGTGCAAAATATATACTTATTTTAATAATATTTATATACTTTAGTAAAGATATTGAAATGATTCGATTAAATCGGTTTCGTGAGCATTTTTTTTATACTTTTGCATTTTACATTTTTTAAAAAGCTTAAAATTTGACGAGTTTAGAATTTTAACTTTGACATCAAATTTCTCAAAATTGGTCTTCTCGATTTTCATGTTTTTGTTTTGCTATTGATAGCTTGATTAATTCTCTATTAGATGTATTTGCGTGCAGTATTGTACCTTTTCTAGATTTTTCTAAAAATAAACTTTTTCAAAAAAAGTCGATTTTGGTGGATTTTTATTTTCCCTATAATTTGAAAAATACGCATCGTATTTCAAATTGGTAAATGCCAATCGAAAGATCTTTCAAAACTCTATAAGAATAATGCCTTTTGTTTAAGTTTAATTCCTTATGTTAACAAAAATATCATTTTTTAAAAATTTTTTAAAAATACAGCTCTGCGTTTTCCAGCAACATTGCTAACCTGGCGCTGGTGAAATTTTACTGTCTTTTAAGTCGCACCTCTAAACTCAGTCTCCATAATAAATTGTTCATTTACACATCAATACTAAAGCCAATTTGAACCTATGGTACAAAACTGTGGTAACACAAATATCAGCGTGTAACACAAATATAGAAAAAATTCAGAGAGTGTAAAAAATGAAATTCTCCGGCAAGGTAGATGCGCTCCGTTGTATATCAGAACCAAAAATCTAGCAACTGGTGAAGAAGTTGGCAAATAAATTCCGAGAGACTCAAGTCGCATCCAAATCCTCATGTTCGTCACTTATTTTCTGCAACTGCATTAAATCGCCTTAAAAGAAAAACACTATCAATAGCATACATATTAGTTTTTTAAAATTCGCAAAATTATTGTCAATTCTAAATTCTATTTAGAAAGATTCAATAAATAAACAAGTGAAAAAAGAGTTGTTTCTCTTTAATTTTGCCTTATGCAAGTTAAGTTTTACGTTATTTTTTTACTTTAAAAATATTAATAATGTATAAAAATACGAAGTATTAGTTTTCTTAATAAAAAACAAAAAAGGAATTGTAAAGTAAACATATTGTTGAATATTTGTTTATATTATATTATATTATTATATATGAATATTTTGTTGTTATTAATTTTGTATGAATAATTTGTTATTTTTGTTTGTATTGTAATAATTGTGTTAAATATATTTGGTGTAAAAAATAACGTTGTCAATGCAATGCCCAAAATACGTCATACGCTTCTGTTGGCACATGAAAACAAAAGCGTCAAATTTCGTCTGCAAGAAAATGCACTCTTGCAGTTTGCAATAAGTTCATTGTTTGGCATGCATGGTCAAGGTTATTTTAGTTAATTTATTTGTTGTAAATTAATTATCAATTTTAAATAAAAGGCACAATTGAATTTTTGACAATTTAATTGATGCGAAGCCACATTCGTTATCGATTCCTTTTTGTTCGTTCTAATAGCTTGTAGAGTTGGTTCAAGTACCAAATTTACACCATATAAGCACCTGCCTACTGGATTCAAGTATTCAGTAATCAGGATAATTTAGGACAATCTTCAAATCACTGGGTTCAAGCGCTCAGTGGTTCTCGAGTTCAAATAAATCAACATAAGTACTGGATTTAAGAGTTCAGTACTTGCAAACAGTTGATTTCAACTTTTGATTCAGCGTGTGATCATACATTTTGGTGTGATCGTACATTTTGGTGACCCCGACGTGATAGACGGTCATTTTGGTGACCCCGTGAAACGGACAGTCAACAATCAACAGTCAGCGGTTAAGTTTCAGCATTCAGCATTCGAAGAACATTTTTAAGCACATTTGGCAAAAAACTACAAATCATCAATGACAACTCTTAATGAAGTCATAGATGCCCAAAAAGAAAAGGGCGAAGAGATTCAGCGAATCATCAAGAACTTCAAAAAGGATTCGGCTGAACGCAAGCAAACATCAGCATACTACAGTGAAAGATTTCGTCGGCTTGATGTTGCTTGGAAGCAGTTTGAACAAACTGACACAATGCTCAGAACTCTCATCGATCAACCGACAAATGATGAGTATTTTACATCTTCCTATTACGAGAAAATAAGAGAACTAACAAATGAATACAGTGAAATATTCAAGACAGAAGCCCTTCGGATCAAAGCAGCAGACAACTTTGGTGAAGGTGTTAGTAACCAAATGGCATCACAGCCGCCATTAGTGGCTACGACAAATGGGTTGATAAGAAAAATATCCGCTCGAATGGCAGCTTTAAAAAGATTAATAGAGAGCTTGTCAGAGAGCTAAGGCATACAACCACTTCAATATTACGAAATAAAATCAAACACAATCATGCAACATTCGAACCAATTGGAATGTTTGCATGATGAACTCTGGGAAAACTTTGAAAATCCACTGATGTCAGGATTCAATCAAGATGAGTATTACCAAATTGAAGATTTGGTACAACAATGTTTGATAGAGTTATCCATAAAACTGGATCAACTACAAAACAAACAAGCAGCAGTAGCAGAAACAAATATGCGTTCCTCACTGCCATTGCCAAAGGTATCAAACCCAAGTTTTAATGGGAATTACTTAAAATAGAGGAAATTTTTTAACTTATTTACACAAATAGTAGACAAACAGCCATTGCCAGCTGCTCAAAAAATGTAGTATTTGAAATCACATGTGACAGGTGAAGCTGAAAAATTGATGTCATTTCAGCATAACGGAGGACAATTATTCGGCAGCTTGGACATTACTGCAAGACCGTTATAATAATAAAAGGGTCTTGTCGTCCACGTTAATCGATGAACTTCTAAATCAGCCATCAGGCACATCAACTGTGGCAGCAGTTAAAAATTTACATAACACAACGAAAGAGTGTCTATTAGCACTAAACAATCTTGGCGTTCAAACGACATTTTGGGACCCAATTTTGTTACAGGTACTAATTAAAAAACTCGATCGGGCGATGCTCATTAGATATGAGCAATCTCTGGCAAAACCAAAAGAGATATAAAACATTCAGGAGTTTCTAGCCTTTTTAGAACTACAGTTCCAACTGATGGAAGTTGTAGAACAAAAAGATAAGGTGGCTATAAAAATTAAAGCAAATCGAAATAACTCAGTGTCATCGGCTGTAACAGTTTCTAAAGGAAACAACAATTGCAAACTGTGCAATGTAGACAGGCACCCACTGTATCATTGCCGTAAATTCTTGCAATTTTCACCATCTCAACAATTGGATTGGGTGAAAAATCAACAGCTCTGTTTTAACTGTTTCAGAAATGATCATGTGGTGAACAAATGTTCATCAAGAAGTTGTACCAAATGTAATAAAAAGCATAACACGTTGCTACATTTGGAAGTTAACAATCAAACGAAACAAAACATTCAACCTAGCTCAAGTGGGTACAACACCGCAGTTACCACAGCGACAGCAAACACATCCACAGGTCATCGTGATTATGTTCTCTTGCCAACTGCAAGAGTCAAAATAATTGCATCTAATGGAAATACAAGTGAAGTCCGAGCATTATTAGACTCTGGTTCGCAAGTGAACATAGTCTCTGAGCGTCTTGTCAAAAGGCTCAATATATCAAAAACAAAATCGTTATTGTGCATAGAAGGGATAGGAAAGTTGCAAAAAAATTCAACGCAGCGAGTTAACATCAAATTGCAATCACTTAACTCAAGGTTTACTACAGAAGTCGAAGCGTTTGTACTTCCAAATATAGTTCCACCTCAACCAAGTTGCAGCTACGATATTTCCAAATGGAAGGTCCCGAACAGCATTCAGTTAGCAGATCCAACATTTTTCCAACAAGGGAAAATTGATATTTTACTCGGTGCGGAGTTCTATTTTAGTCTGTTAAAGAAAGGTAAATTAACGCTTGCTCCTGGGCTTCCAGTCTTGCAAAATTCTACACTTGGCTGGATTGTCAGTGGCAAGGTTGCATAAATACAGACACATCAAACGTTTTATGTGCAGTTTTTGGCGGTGGGGCGGAGGTTGTTGATAATAATTCATCGTTAGAAGATGCAATTGAACAATTATGGCGAATGGACGAGGTGAATACAACAGAGAGGACATTATCCAAAGAAGAAAAATTATGCGAATCTCATTTTGTTCAGAACGTCCATACAAATAAAGAAGGACGTTTTGTGGTAAGGTTGCCGTTTCTGGAAAACTCATTGACGTTAGGGGAATCTCAAGAAACAGCTTGGAGAAGGTTCATCAGTCTTGAACGACGACTAGCAAAAAATGATGTTTTGCGGAAACAATATGTCCAGTTTATGGAAGAGTATGAGCGATTGGGTCACATGACTGAAGTAAACCTGGATTCCATGTTGACTCCAAGATATTTCATTCCTCATCATTGCGTACTAAAACCAGATAGTACAACTACTAAACTTCGAGTGGTGTTTGACGCATCAGCCAAAACTACATCTGTACACTCGTTGAATGATTTAATGTATAACGGACCGACAGTTCAAAGTGAACTTTTTTCAATTCTGCTCCGTTTTAGGCGACCACGGTTTGTTTTTACCACAGATATCGAAAAAATGTGTCGTCAAGTTTTGATAAATCCTGAAGATCGACGCTATCAACTTATCATTTGGAGAAGCAGTCCAAATTCAACGATTCGTTATTATCAGCTAAACACAATTACATATGGGACTCGAGCATCTCCTTACCTAGCAACAAGATGTCCGCAAAAGATAGCATCAGAAAACAAGGGGAATTATCCATTGGGAGCTCAAATCCTGTGTGACAATTTCTACGTTGACGATGGGCTCGGTGGATCAGATAGTTTAATTACGGCTATTGAAGCTCAAAGGCAATTAATCCATATTTTAAAGAAGCATCAGTTTTATCTACGGAAATGGAGTGCAAACCATCCTCAACTTTTGAAAAACATTTCTCAAGATGATCAAGAGGTAAATCTAGATTTTACTAATGATAATAACGAGTCAATCAAAACGCTGGGACTATTTTGGTTGCCCAAAGCGGATTTATTTGGAATTAAGGTCAAAATAGTTACTGAAGATATAATCACGAAGAAAGTCGTAGTTCTGATTTAGCTAGACTGTTCGACCCACTTGGGTTATTAGCTCCAGTAATAGTGAAGGCAAAGATTTTCATACAACACTTATGGCAGTTGAAATTATCTTGGGATGAACCACTTCCTACAGATCTTCGCACAACATGGTCAACATTTAGAGAAAACTTAAGTACTCTTGAAAACCTTCAAGTGGCAAGATATATCTTCAGAGACAACTACACATTTTTGCTGATGCATCTGAAAAGGCATTTGATGCTGCAGCATATGTCAGAGCAATTTTAAAAGATGGTAGAATAATAGTGCGACTATTATGTGCAAAGTCAAGAGTAGCACCACTCAAAAAACAAACGCTACCGCGACTAGAGCTATGTGCGGCAGTCTTAGCAGCGGAACTCTCAGCAAGAGTGAAAAGCGATCTTCAAGAGAAGGACCAGCCGGTATTTTTGTGGACTGATTCAGAAATTGTGTTGTCTTGGATCAACTCACAGTCCTCATCATTTCAAACATTTGTAGCTAACAGGGTAGCAAGAATTCAAACATTAACTCTGTCTGAGCAGTGGCGACATGTTAGGTCAAAGGACAATCCAGCTGATGTGTTATCAAGAGGACTTTCAGCAAGGGCGTTGTCAACATGTGCACTTTGGTTTCAAGGACCGTTCTTTTTGCATGGAAGGCAGGAAGTATGGCCACCAAGGTTTTCATCATCATTACAAGTTCCAGTCGATCTGGAGAAGAAGAAGGTTGTAGCTGTAGCAACTCAAAGCAATGACGCAGATTTCATATACAGGATTCAGCACAAGAATTCATTTAAGACGTTACAAAAGATAGTAGCATATGTTCTTAGATTCACTAACAACGCAAGAAAATCAAAGGAGTCACGTGCCACACATATAGTACTTAGTGCCAACGAATTGGATGCAGCATTAATAACTATAATATGTCACATTCAGGGTAATGATTTTCATGAAGAAATCAAACAACTGAAGAAACAAGGTCATGTTGATAAATCTAGTTCAATCAGTAGTTTATCTCCGTTCATTGATAATGCAAATGTTCTTAGAGTAGGAGGACGCTTAGAAGCCTCATCATTACCATACGATTCTAAACACCCAATGCTGTTCCCATACAATGATCCATTGGCAAAATTATTATTCGTGATGTTTCATGAAGAAAACAAACACTGTGGCCCGCAGGCACTATTGAGTACAGTCCGACAACGGTTTTGGCCGATTAAAGGTAAGTCAACAGCCCGAGCAACGGTTGAGCGATGCATTCGATGCAACAAAGCACGTACGCAACTATGCCAACAAATTATGGGCAATTTACCAGAATCAAGGATAACTCCTGCAAGACCCTTCATTAATGCTGGTGTAGATTATTGCGGACCATTTTGGATCCACTACAAGGTGAGGGGCAAAAAGCCAACAAAGGCATATATTGCTGTCTTTTGTTGCTTTTTTACAAAGGCGGTACATCTCGAGTTAGTGACCGACTTATCAACAAATGCTTTCATTGGAGCATTAAAACGATTTATAAGTCGACGAGGGCGTTGTTTGAATATTTACAGTGATAACGCAACAAACTTCGTAGGCGCCAAAAACCAGTTAGCAGAATTAGAAGAAAGCATTTATTCTAATGAAGGACAAGAAGCAATAATCTCTGCCTGCAGTACCACAGGAATAAATTTTCATTTTATTCCACCAAGGGGTCCACACTTTGGCGGTTTATGGGAATCATCCGTAAAGTCCGCAAAATATTTGTTACTACGCAGCGTTTCAACAGCATCATTGACGTATGAAGAACTCGAAACAGTAGTGGTGGAAATTGAAGCGATATTAAATTCACGACCATTGACTCCAATGTCCAATGATCCAACTGATTTGACAGCATTAACTCCAGGACACTTATTAATTGGAGAAGCTCTTACAACTCATGTAGACAGTCGATCGAAACCAGAAAAACACACGTTATTGTCACGTTGGAACCTAGTTTCCCAGTTAAAACATAATTTTTGGAAACGCTGGTCTAACGAATATTTGATGGAACTGCAACAACGTAACAAATGGAAAACACAATCTGCCAACATACAGTTAGGAGACATGGATATAATCAAAGAAGATAACGTCCCAGTGATGCAGTGGCCCTTGGGACGAATTGTACATGTGTACAAGGGTACAGATGGACGTATCCGAGTAGCTGACGTTAAAACATCGACAGGCATTTTTAAACGCCCAATTCATCGAATAGCTGTACTGCCTGTTAATGCAGATGATCAACCAACAATGGCTGAAGCTGATCACGAAGTACCTCCTGACAATTTAATTATGAAAGATAGAATCTACTAGTTTATTATGATTTAAGTCTTTATTGAACGGAAGCAGCAGCTCTAAACACAGGACTAATGTCGCTACATCAAGCTTGTCAACAAATGAAACCAAACGCATCATGTGCGAATACAGTTAATCACTTTAAACATATTGAATCCGAACTACAACTCGATGATAAATTACTTCATGATCATCGCTTCAAAAGAGGAGCAATTGATCTTGTAGGCAATATTGCTCATTCACTGTTTGGAGTATTAGACTCAGAATATGCCAAAGGAATGTCAAATATAATTACAGAAGTGAAACAAAATGAAATACAATTATTGACGTTATTTAAGAATCAGACATCAGTTGTCGATTCAACAATCAACATAATGAAGAAAGATAAAATAGCAGTTCAAGAAGGTTTTGACCACATTGACAATGAAATAAAGGCATTGATAAATTCAATAAAAGATACAAATAGAGAGGTAAATCAATTACGGCTCAATCAAGTTTTTAATGCAGGAGCCATTCAATTAACACTGGTAGCACATAATCTACAGAAGATACAATCTGCTATTATAGATGCTCTAACTGATACTCATCATGGAAAATTGAATCCATTGTTATTGACACCAACACAATTACAAAAGGAAGTTAATCAAATCAAACTTCATTTATCACCATCATTAGAATTACCGATGCCAGAAGATGAGTTAATATCCCTTTACAGACTAATGAAGGTTAAAGGTGGAATCACACAGCAGAATGCAGTTTTTAGTATAACACTACCCTTGATTGAACATGAACGATTTGAATTGTTTCAGCTAATTCCAATCCCGAACTGGGTAAATGACTCCATGACGGTAATTGACTCCTGCAGTTCTATTTTGGCTATTAATACGCAGCATGATCAATATTTTCCTCTTATAAAATCCGAATTAAATCTTTGTGAGACCATTAAGGAAGAGAAATTTCTTTGCACCAACGTCCGCATACGATACAATTTTGGTTCCGAAGTATGTGCGTGTGAGGTCAACCTATTCAACAACAACACAATACCAAATTGTCGGTTGAAACACAATATCAACAAGCTGACCTGGATTCCATTGAATCACAAAAATTAATGGATTTATGCGACATCAACATCTTCACGAGCAACTGCAGTATGTAATAAGGAAATCATTCCACTAAATCTAAAAGGTTCAGGTTTATTGACGATCGATCCAGACTGCGTGCTTAAACACAACTTTGTTTCCGTGCAAGGACAACAAATGATTGCAAGCACGGCAAGATATTCATACAGTAGTCTTGGTACAATCTCCGAATTAAGGCTACAACCCCCTATAAAGACATCAGATGCTTACAGCGGCAACAGTACACTGTCAACGGTACGCAACAACCAATACGATCAACAGCTTAAAGAACTCACAGTATTGCAGAAGGTGTTACAGTCATACCAGATAAATGATCTTCCAAATCAATTTCAGTCACACAAGTACCACAGCTTCACCATAGCTTACGCTGCAGTCGTTATAGGGCTGATATTAATCATAATCATGATGAAGAAGAAATTGCAGAAAAAACATGTTGAAATTCAATCCGATGAAGAAGCCACCCTCACGACACCTATACCCATGCCACGTCGACAGTCGCGAGAATTCTTTATCAACATATAGTCGGACTGACTACCTGACAGCTAGAGGCTCATATTGTTGAACGGTTGTTCAACGCGGGGGAGAATGTTGAATATTTGTTTATAATTTATTATATTATTATATATGAATATTTTGTTGTTATTAATTTTGTATGAATAATTTGTTATTTTTGTTTGTATTGTAATAATTGTGTTAAATATATTTGGTGTAAAAAATAACGTTGTCAATGCAATGCCCAAAATACGTCATACGCTTCTGTTGGCACATGAAAACAAAAGCGTCAAATTTCGTCTGCAAGAAAATGCACTCTTGCAGTTTGCAATAAGTTCATTGTTTGGCATGCATGGTCAAGGTTATTTTAGTTAATTTATTTGTTGTAAATTAATTATCAATTTTAAATAAAAGGCACAATTGAATTTTTGACAATTTAATTGATGCGAAGCCACATTCGTTATCGATTCCTTTTTGTTCGTTCTAATAGCTTGTAGAGTTGGTTCAAGTACCAAATTTACACCATATAAGCACCTGCCTACTGGATTCAAGTATTCAGTAATCAGGATAATTTAGGACAATCTTCAAATCACTGGGTTCAAGCGCTCAGTGGTTCTCGAGTTCAAATAAATCAACATAAGTACTGGATTTAAGAGTTCAGTACTTGCAAACAGTTGATTTCAACTTTTGATTCAGCGTGTGATCATACATTTTGGTGTGATCGTCCACATATCATAAGTACACGTCTATTATCTAGTTCAGATATTTTTTTCATATAAATATACAGTGCCGAACATAATTGTTGGCACAGCAAGCAAATTGAACTTTACCACTATTTTTATCCTGTTAATGATGCAATTTTAAATCAAAAAAAAAATTTTTAAATAAAATGCTTAATTGCTTTTAAATTCATTTTATTTCATTTTATTCTCTATTATATTTAATATTTTAAAATTAGAAAATCAAAAAAAAAAACTAAATTTGGCTGAATGATAAAACTTTTTTTGAAAGACATTTCTGACAGCATAGCAAAAATCTTAAAAACGATCTTTCGATCATTCTCACAAAGATTTTACGAAAGACTTTTAACGATCTTTGCTAAAATTGCTCTGTAAATATGTCATATATTTCCAATAACATATTTAGCAAAATTTGAAGCAGCTGTATGCTCATTCAAAAATTTCAATAACTAAAACAAAATTTTGTTGTTTTACTTCAATTCAAAAGAATTTCTACTAAGAAATAAAGTTCTATAATTGACTTTAAAAATCAAATTTAATAAAAAAAAATAATTTTTGTCAAAATATTTTTACATTCGCAATAATATACAAATAAAAAAACACTTACATGCTCACTTTAACTTTTATTTTCATCATGCTAGATGAAATAACAAAGCAGAAGTCTTGTGCCCAGGATTTAAGATTACAAAACTTAAGATATTGTAACGAAAGAATGCGATAGTAATGCCTAACTTCTGGCTTTTATCGAAAAAGAAGATAAATTCATAAGTGAACAATTTAAAACACTTTAATACTAAAAGTTCTTTGAAACGAAATAATTTTTCTTGACATAGTTTCTAAAACTTCTATTGAACATTAAAAAAAATTGTTCGTACAAAAACATTTCATATTAAAACCATTTTGTTTTTTATTAATATTGATCATTTACGCTGTTTAAGATAAATTTATTATATCCCTTAAGCTAAATTTTATCTTACGACTAAGAAAAAAAATTAATGTTAATTTAATATTTTTTACTTAATTACTTAAAAAAATTTTAAATTTTTAATTATATTAATTATATAAAAAATTTTTAATTATATTATATTATGTAACTTACTATTAAAATGTGATATAACAGAAAGAAATAGGAAATCATATCAATGCGCATATGCATGCAGTATATTGATAAATATATGTATGTATTTATATATGTATCTTTTTACTTACATATGTATACAGAAACATTATATTGTATTATGCAGACATATACATACATATAATTATTGCATGTAAAGGGTGTTTCCGACTTATTTTGCTTTAATGCAAAAGGTGATTTCTTCGTGTCAAAAGTTGAAAAAATGTGTACAAATGGCGAGGTACATTTTCAATATTTAATAAGACATGGGGCGTAAAAAAAATTTATCCAAAATAAATCTATAGTCTTGAAATTCCTAATACTTCAAAACGGTTTAATTTAATAACTTCGTAATATAATTTTTCAGTCATCAAATATTCTTAAATTTGATACCTGTATCAAATATTAATACGAAACTTAATGCCATAAATAGGAAAAAATAAATAAATAGGTAAATAAAAAAATTAAAACAAAAAAAAAAAATTTCGATCCACAATAATTTACAAATCTATTTACAGGTATCAAATATTAATATGAAACTTAATGCCATAAATAAGTTTGTAAATTATTGTGAATCAAAATTTATTTTTTTTTTAAATTTTTTAATTTTTTTAAAATACCTAAAAATTTTTTTTTCATCTTACACAAATTTTAACTATCAGTTTTTTCAACTAAATGTAATAATATATTTATTAGTAATTCTATGCATTGATAAATTTCTGTTGCTTTTAGTTCATTTCAAAAAACAATTACTTATTCTCTAGTTAATTAAATGTTAACTAGAGAATAAGATATTAATGTACAAAATATAAACAAAACACAAAAAAATTTTATAAGAATATTAAATTATGGTAATTTTCGAATCTACTTTAAGTACAAATACGTAGTAGCTATTTAATGGACTAAAAATTAATACACATTCTAAAATTTTTGATAAACTGATTTATATTAGATGTATTTTTATATATTTTGGAATTACGATTTTTCATGTGTTTAGTTCTTTTAATTCAGTATTTTGGAAAGATTTTTCCTTTCTTGGACCAAGGAATCACTTCAGAGTTTAGTATCATTTTATTAAAAAGCACCCTCATACATATAAATACTTGTATGCATATACATATTTATATATATATCTACATAGAGAAATATATTACATGCATGTATATATTATTCTACATCATCAAGTGGAAATACATAAGTTTATAGTAATATATATAAAGTTTAGTATATACATATATCATACACAAAAGCACATGTATTAAAAATGAAACATATTTTTTGATTGATTGATTTTTTTTTTAAAAAGTATAATATAAAAATATAAATATGATAATTTTAACGTAATTAATGGTATTACAAATAATAAGTGTATTAAAATATTTTTTTCCCTAATTTTTATATTTAACATGTAAGCAAATTTTATCTAGTAAAATAGAGCACTTATATAAAAATAACTCAAAATTGTAACTATTTTAAAATCTTGTGTATAACAATAAATAAAAATAATAATAATAAAAACATGTATTTGATTTATATGATAAAAATTTTGCATACAATATATATGTATATACCTTACAGATGTATATATATACATATATACCTTACAGATACATACATATATATATATATATATATCTACAGATTGATTCTCAAATTTAATAATTTAATTTTTATAAAAAAAATTGCATTTCTTCTGTAGAAATTTTGTTAAACAGTTATCGAATAAATACGCTAGTTTATTAATCTATCGTTAATATAATATAGTATTTAACAAAATTACAAGTACACAAGTACGATAATTAAATAGTTTTGTTTTAGAATAAAATTTTGTTTACATAAATTAGTTAAAGTACATTTAGGCGTATATATTAATCTTGCATATTAATAGTCATCGTAAGTATATTAGTCATTACTACAATATTTCTGAGCTTAAACATTACTTCTTAATAAGTTTTAAACATCAACCAAGTTACATACATAAAAATTTGGTTTAGTGTATTTTGTAACAATAAGTATCTGTAGCTGTAAACCAATTATGTTAGAATAACTACATAAATGTTTATACCATACGTACAATAAGTTTGGTCACAAAATCGTCGCATGATTTTTTATAAACAGTTAAACTAGTTTTATAAATAGATTTAATCTATTATTATATGTATATATTCTGCATTATATTAATGGTTTTTAAGATTTTGTATAACCCTTTCATTATAAAAACGGGTACATTGTTTTGTTTTTGAAATGACCAATAAATATTTTTTCTATGAACACCAATTTTAACTTAATATTTAATTTTTTAGTACCATTACATCTTTTGATGCTATTTCTACTATAGCGATTCTTCAAACGCTGCCATTAGATCGCTTTGCATATTCATATCAATTTGACCTGCCATCTGGAATAAAAAAAATTTCTTTGAAATGTAATAATTTAAAAATATTTTATAGATAAGAGAAAAATATATTTAATACCGAAATTGATAATTTGTTTAGTAAAATGAGTATTTTGACTTATTAAATCTCTAATATTAAAATCTGTAACTTGTAATTTTATTGGAATTATTAGCATGGAAATTGTGAAAGTTGTATGTTAAACGATAAATATTTAAATAAAATAATGATGATATATGCATTTTAAAGAAAAAATTAAATTATATGCAGTAGCGCACAAGCCCTGCGCTTAAAAGTGAGTTATCCGTTTACTGTATGTATTAGTGAAATTCGCACTAAATGATGAGGGCAAAGATAAAGGACGCTGTTGCAAATCAACGTCAGGAACCATATAGTTACGTTGGTTATATATTGCAATTTATATTGCAATTATATTGCTTGTAGATTTTATCATGTCTAGGTATCTTTTTTGGGTTTTAAGAGATTCGAATAGTCTTGACATCATTCAAAAGTATTGTAATGGGATTTGTTGCTAGGAAGTCTATTGTTTTTGGATTTAGATAAAAGCCGCTTTTGGAAGTGTTCCACTAATGCAACTTGTATCTTATCTTAAGGTATTCCTCGAAGTATTCTTAAACAGTTCGATTTTTATCATAGAACTGTCATATCTTTTAACGTCATTCGAACCTTAATATAGCCTCAATTTCCGCTCTGAAATTGTTAAAATTAAATTAAAATATTATCTGTTGGAGAATTGATCTGTCTGATTGGAAAGCTGCTACTGCTGCATCATTTACAGAGCAATTCTTGTACCAAACTATCGTTTGAAAGATCATTCGTATTCTGGAAGCGGTCTTTGGCCAAAATGAAAGATCTTTTCGGTTTTTTGCGTCTGACGTGCATAAATTTTTTTATATAATATAAAATACATAAAAACTAATAATTAATTAATTAATTAATGAAAATTAATGAAAACACAACAATTATTTCTAACTTCATTTTCATAACTTCAAGATATTTTATTTTTCTTTTTTTATTTATTAAATCACTTGAAAAGTCTAACAATAACTATTAAAATCTTTCATACTAAGAATATTTATTCAAAGTTTATGTCACTACCTAAACTTTCCTTGTTTAAAACGTGAAGATTCTTAATTATTGATTTTTAAAATTTTTATCTCAATGTGGTAATTAATACATTTAAGATACATTAAAGGTATGCCGGTAAGTCTGATCTTTTGAGACGGGATATGTTTCTTGTTCTGGTAAGATATTGAGCGAGTAGGTTTGGATGTACCATGTATTTTAGTGTTATATTTCTGCCGTAGGAGAGCTAATTCGTCTTTGACAAGAAACACTTAAAGGTCCTTATCTATGATGGAATTTGTTAGGAACCAGAGGGGCTCCTGTTAATGATCGAAGTATTTCTGACTGAAAGCGATGTATAACATCGATGTTTGACGCGATGGCTTTACCCCAGAGTTGGGCACCGTGAGTCGATATGGGCTTAATCACAGTTTTATATAACAGAACTTTATGAACAAGCTGTAATCTTGTATTCTTATGAACGCTGAGAAGCGCAGTATTATCTGCAAACGTTGATGTAATTTTTTGATTAGTGGGGAAATCCGATGTAAATATAAGGTATAAGACCGGTCATAATATGTAGTACAATTGAAACTTTAAAAATAAGGATTAATTAGCATTTAATGCTGGTATGATATAGGTAAATTTGTTTGATGTTTATAAGAAATATATTTTTTTGTATATATAATTTATATATATAATTTATGTAACAAGAACCTTATTTACACATGAACTTTAATTTGTTAATTAATTTAAAAAATTTATTACAATAATTATAATTGGTTTAAAATTATACAAAATAAAGAAACTAATAATAAATCAATGATTGTTATTAAAATGATTAAATCTTGCTCGTTATATTAACATTTACAGCGCTCATGAATTCAACCGCAGCAAAAAGAAATAAAATGGCAAAACAAATATTAATCAATCAAAATTTTGTACTTTCTGAACTAGTAGAGACATTGAAATGAAATTTTCTCTAAATACACTTTTTGAGATAGCCCTTCTTTTGAATCTTAGTCCCAAATTTGGTCCATTTTGACATTTTCTTACTTTCCAATTGAAAGTCGAAATTTGCTGTACTAAATACTTGCATTATAATACATATTACATCACTTAATAAGTCACGTGACCTACACACAGATGGCGTTGCCATTGTCAAATCCATATGACGTTTATGAAATACCAACCTTCAAAAGACTATGTGTACAATTTCATGACATTTCGATTAGTCAGGAAAAAGTGACAGCCGTTTAAGTGAAGTTTCTTTTGTTATTTTCAAAACAATGGATTGAAAACAATTTCGTGTGTTAATTTATCATTGCTTCTTGATGAAAAAAAATACTATACAAGCTCAGCAATGGCTTCTAAAGTGTTATCCGGACTCTGCCGGACTCCATCGAAAAGAAACATTTGTTATTGGTTTGTCAAATTTAAACGTGGTCGTACAGATACCGATGATGGTGAACGTTCTGGTCATCCAATTGAGCTGGTTACTCCAGAAAACATCAAAACAGTCCAGAAATTGGTTATATCTGATCGTAAGTTTAAATTACGTGAGATAGATGAGACCGTAAAGATATCAGAAGGCAATGTGTTTACAATTATGCATGAAAATTTGACCATGAGAATGCTCTTTTCAAAGTGGGTACCATATTTACTCAAAGTCGATCAAAAATAAAAACGTGTTGTTGATTCAGACCAGTATTTGGCTATGTTTACACGTAATAAATCAGATTTTTTGCGTCGATATGTGACAATGGATGAAATATGGATCTATCACTACACTCCGGAATCAAAACGATCATCATCTGAGTGGACTGCAACCGGTAAACCACGTCCGAAGCATCCAAAGGCACAACAGTCAGCTGGGAAGGTTATGGCTTCAGTATTTTGGGATTCACATCGTATAATCTTCATTAATTATCTCGAAAAGGGAAAAACCATCAATAGTAACTACTACACGGTGTTACTGGATCGTTTGAAAGCAGAAATTGTGAAAAAACGGCCGCATGTGGTGAAGAAAACAATTTTGTTTCACCAAGACAATGCACCATGTCATAAGTCAATAAAAACGATGGTAAAATTGCACGAATTTCAATTCAAATTGCTTTCTCATCAGCCTTATAGTTTAGATCTGGCTCCCAGCGACTACTGGCTATTCGCTGATCTCAAAAAAATGCTCGCAGGTAAGAAATTCATCTAAAATGAAGTAGTAATTGCTGCAACTGAAACCTATTTTAAGTTAAAGACAAATCCTTCTACAAGCACGGCATCGAGAAGTAAGAGAAGCGTTGGAATGATTGTATTGCCCTTGGAGGAGATTAAATTGATGAGTAAAATTAATTTTTGGCAGAAAAAATTCGTTTTTCTTAGTTAGTCACACGACTTATTGAGTGATGTGTTATAGCTCAATTTTTTCATGATATTCTATCCACTGCAACACCCATTCCATACAAAATATTCATAAAAAATTGTTCATTATCGTTAAAAAAAAACTTTTCATTACTTTAGACTATATATTGTGATTTCGCAAAAATTGGGCGAATTTTAAACCCTTATAACTTTTTTATTACTTTTTAACAAATGTTCTTTTTTTACATTGTGTCAAAAAATTTAATTTTAATTATTATTGTGTAAAAAAATTCAATTTTAAATATGAAAACACCTCGATTTGCTTCGTTAAATGGGACCAACAAAATGCGACGCAAATCGAAACAATGCAAATCGAATCACATATCTCAATATATTTAATTTCCAAAAATATTTTGGATTTTGACAGAGCATCAAATCAGAACCGAACCGAAAAAAATATATCGGTTTATTTCGGTTCACCACCATATAGTTTGGTATCTGTGCATCTGTTTCTTTAGTTGTTGATTTTTTTATTTATTTTTTTGCAATATACTTATATTGACTCAATTTATTCCTAATTTTGATGTTAATAGTCTTATCGGAATTAAACATGCAGCACATACTTTACAACTAGCAATAAAAATGAAATTAAATGCGCTGAATTTAATGAATAGCGAATTCCATCGCTTATGTTAAAGTTTAAAAATACTGATGTTAAAATACCTTTTTGACATTGTCTAGATGTTATAGCACATACAATATGCTCAAAAGCTTATTAGATTGTAAACGGTTTTGTTCTTCTTTAGCGGAATGTAATTCAGATTATTATTTAACGGAGAATGAATAGAAGAAGATACATTTAATTGTAGACACTTTGGAACCCCTAACAGAGGCAACTTTGAAGTTACAAAGTGAACAATTAACTTTAAGTGATTTTTATGGAATTTGGATCCAATGTAAAACAAAATTGAAAAAAATCAGGAAATATATTGTCAGATATTTTATATAATGAGACACACCCAACTCTCTTTTAACACGGTATAGATACGTTCTTTAAAAAACTGTGTAAAAAAAATTGTGTAAAAAAAATTGTGTAAAAAAATACATGCGAGATATAGTAAATTTGGCAATATTTTTCACAACTTTTAAGAATCGTATAAGACGAAAACCCTCTAAATATTTTTCTATAAATCCGTGTAAATAAGTGATAATTAAATCCATATTATTTAAAAAACAAAATAACTCGTTTTTATTACGAAAATAAAGCATATCAAACTTTAATGTCAAACAGGCAACTACCATTTGATAACAAGCGTGCACGTTTATTACGAACAGGCTCAAAAATCCCATCATTTGTATTAACAGTCACTGTTTGCTTGTTAGTAGTTAAAAAGTCTATTATTAGATGCTGCTTTTTTTTTTGGTTTTTAAGTTGCTTATACAATTCTTCATATTCAGCTATACAACAGTTAAGTTTGCGTATAAATTGCAATGCACGTTTCATGTCAGTATCATAAGCAAGGAAATGTTGCTCCATACTTTTATGAAATTTTAAACCCTT